TCGGGCTGTGGAAAGGTTTAAGGGTCCAAGGAGCCAAATGATCGGGTTTTAGGGCTTAAATACCATCAATATTATAGTACTTGGGCCCTAAAACCCCATTATTTGGGTCCTTGGACCCTTAGGGTTTGTCTTTGGGAATCCCCCATGAGGATTCTAAACGGCTCTTGTGAAGACACCACAGGGGCCATGGTGCATAGATGTATAGTCCCCCTTGGTATATGGGGATCTTATTTTCATCTACCCAAAGCCATATCCTAGCTACTTAAGGGGGCTATAGCTTTTCAACTCTTTTATACTGCTTCGTGTGGAGTCAAGAACCTTGAGCAGTGCTGGGAGGCCGACGACACTGATAGGATGATCACGAAGAGGAGCAACCTTTGCCGTTCTCGTGGCTCAAACGGGATTTTAGGGCTTAGGGTTCAGGGTTTGGGTTGAGGGTGTGTGGGAATTGTAAGGCGTTGGCGCGCAATCTTACTTCTCTACACGAGGCTTGGACGCCATGTTTCAAGGAGGTCGCTTCCCTAAACCCCCAAACCTAAACCCTATACCCTTAACCCTAGACCCTAAACATCCCTAAACAGCCTAAACCCAGACCCCCAATCCCTGACCCACAGCCTTCAGCCGGAACCCCAAACTGGCTCAGACGAGTCGCACCAGGGCCTGACGCCAGAGTCGACTGTACCACGGAATGTCCTGTAACAAGTGGCTAGCGAAAGTATATAGGGTTTAGGTTTTGGGGTTTGGGGATTTAAGGGTTAGCCTATAGGAGTTTAAGTTTATAGGGTCATGATACAAGGCTATAGAGGGCTTAGGACTTATTACCCCCAAGCATGGGGAGAACCACATCTAGGATCAGAATATTGGCAATTTTGCTCTGACCTCCCAATGCTGCAATTTTCCGGCCGATATAGGTCATTGTACTGTATCTGAACCCTTTATGATTCATTAAGGAGGGGGAAAGTTTGTTAGTGAGGGCAGGGTTTGCTATGATGATAAAAACGTCGTGCCACCAAGGTGACATTACCACATGAGGCTTTATAGTTGTTGTCCTCTTTGCATGTGAAGGAGGTTCCTGAACAGTCTGAACCGATGCTGAGCTATGTTTTTCAAAAGGGATGCATGGACGGCTTTGCCAACTTATGTGTAGACATCGCGTAGCGATTACCATCTGGCTGCCCACGCGGCAGAACACTACTATGGCAGTCAGACAGTAAGTCATGGTCCTCAGCAAGAACTTGGAATCACAGGCTGTAACCCTGCATGGAACCGATGCTACTAATACGAGCTTGAGTGATAGTATGAATGATGTTAATCATGCCTGTGTAAAAAGAACATGTTCACAATAACAAGCCTAGAGCTCCAGCTGACTCTAGCCCCAAATCTCTCCTGATTCTCCCAGATGATATCTGTCGGCTGCGGAGCAGGCGAGATACGAATAGAGTTGCCTCAGCGGCGTCACAGCAACCGTTGTAGGCTAAAATGACAGAGTGGTTCTACTTTTATGTTGTGCTTTAATGATGGCTCCAGCAATTGCAAGCCGGATGGCAGGCCTCTAGCAGTGTCGCTGGATTAGCCTCGCACAACTATTCCCCAATCATGGCATCTCTCCTCAAAGACATACCCCCATGGGTCAGGCACGGATCAATGAATCGCTGTCAATGTGTATATAGTGCTTGTTTGTTTCGAGCTTTTGCCAATGTTCCTGGTGGGATGCAGTGTCCATAGGCTTGCCTCAAATCTCAAGTTGCACCCACATAAAGTTCTTGCGGTCACGCGAAGCCTTCATTGATCCTTTCAGAACAGACTTGGGACGCTGATGAGCTTTTTTCTGCAGAGCATCAGGATGTTGGGAGTACTACTTGGAGGCTCATGCCTGAGTAGCAACGTCACGAGCAACCATTATCTTTGCCACGAAGTCGGACTTATCTTCAGCATGAGCATCCTGAACATGATTTCTGCATCTACTCATCAACTTATGATGAGCGCGAGCCTCCTTGGTGCCAACATCAGCCACTCTTTGGGCTCTCTGCTGAAACAGAACACCCTTGGTGCTATTTGGCGCAGCCAGGCACATACTTGAAGGCCAGTCTTTCTGCTCATGCCTGCGTTATCCCTACGTAGCCCTCAGGATTCCACTCATTTGCCCATGAACCTTGAAGTAGGCTTGGGTCGTAATAGCAATAACAACTTGAATCAGGCGTCCATTGTTTGGTATCTGGATGCAAAGTGGTTGGGGCTCTTAGTTTACCAACTGGGAGGCCTCTCGCGGGGCATTTTCGCATACCAAGTTCCACGACAGATAGTGACATTATGAGGTCCCCTTGCAAGCCTTCTCACTTTGCCTCAACGGTCAGGCATGCCAACCTTTCTCGCGCTAGTTTGGTGTGGCACGGGGAATGGATTCCTACTGTTGATGGACAACCCCCTTCATGACTCTAGGTACACCATAGTGTCACAGGTCCCAAGGATTAGTAAAGTGCCATGCAGAATTCTGCCCATGAACTGCCTCCAACTTCCCATAGTTGTCCCTATAATCCATTCCCCCCACCCTTCTCAGCACGAGAAAGCAACTGCGCCAGAGGTTGCGCGTGCGCAGCGGATCGACCCTTCATCCCCTTTTGGGGAGAGGGTAAACACATTGAAAACTCCCATTTTGGTAGCTTTCAAACTTGCAGGGCCACAAGCGCATACCTTCAGTATGGGATTTCTGTGAACCGGTTGGAACAGGTCTTAAGTCCAGCAAGCCCCCGCTTTTGAAACCTTCCATTTCATGCTTCCAGGTCAGCTTGATCATTTCCGATCTGCGCTGACCTCAAGGGGTATACTAGAAGAATATACAGGGGATATATAGGGGTGTAAATAGGGGTGTATATATCTATGTGTATATATATATATCTACATCTATATATATATATATCTCTGTATATATGTATACACATGTGATGAAGGGCGTGGATTTAGAGAAAGGGAGATATGAGCTTTTGTAACTTCTGGTATCCCCCATGCATAACCCCCTATCATACTCCCCTATCCCGTAGCCCCCTTTAGCCCCCTTTACGGAGTTTAGACTGCAGTTCATGTAGG